CCGACCCCGAGTTTGCTCGGGCAGTGAGTGGAGATGTTCGAGCACTGCGGGCACGGGCCACCTAGGGAGGGGCGGTCTCGGCGAGACCTGCTGCCGCTACCCAGCCCGCGATTGGTAGTGGAACCAAGAGACCTACCCTTCGGGACTTCACACAGGACACGGAAGTGGAACCAAGTGATTGGGAGGCGCTGCAGGCGAGGCTGCGGGTGACGGTCGCCGCGCTGATTTTCCAGTTTTGGAGGCAGGCCACAGGCACCTGAGGCGCGCGCGCGCGTTTGCGAGACGCGGCCGAACGCTGCTCAGTCATCAGCGTTGCGGCGGCTGGCGAAGCGGACCTACGCCGTGCCACAGTCAGCCACCCGCTGACGGTGACGAAGGACCTGGACTTGGCAGAGAAGCTGAAGGATCGGCGGCTCGCCTACGATGGCTTGGAGGTGTCGTCGCCGCTGCGCCTCTAGCTTGAACAGGTCGAAGAGGGCCCCCCCCTGCAGGCGTAGCGGTTTCGATCGAGGCCACGGACCCTGTCACTTGCTTCGTTCGCGCGGCTCTGCTGGGCCCGACAACAGGGACTGCGGCGCGGACAGCTAGCTGCTTGCGCTGGAAGGGCGGGCGCGCCGAGCCGCCCCCAGCCGAGGCGCGTGAGGTGTCAATGGGCTTCTCGCGGGGCTACGCGGCGCCGCGCGCAGCGAGCGGCCGTGCGAAGGCGGAGCCCGCCAAGTACGAGGCACCGAGGCGGTCGCTCGTCGGCATCTCGATCCAGCGCGAAGTGGCGGCGCCGACGCTGGCCGCGCTTCGCGCCAGCTCCCGCAGCTCCCGCAGCTGAGCAGGTGGCCGCCGGCTGCGGGCGGGCGACGCGCCGACGCCGCGGCCGGGCCGCGAGGCGGTGGCGGGCGAGCGTCTGGCGGAGCAGGGGGCGCATCGAGCCGAGTCCGATGCGCCCAGGCTTGTCTACGTCGGGCGAGACTTGCGCCGCTGGAAGCTGGGCGCCTCGACGTGGGGCCCGTTCCCCGTTGGGCTCAGGCGGCGCCCCGCCGACGCCTCGCGGCGCGCCGGCTGGCTGACGCAGCGCCGCAAGTTGCTGGGCGCGCTGGAGGACCTGCGCGGCGCTCGCCTGTCAGAGGCGACGATAGGGCCGAGTGGCCCAGGGGAGAGCAATACATGTATTCAGGTGCGCCGATGATCTATGTTTTCGAAAATTGCTCCCGGGCGAATGCGTGCAATGCCCGCCCCTGGGATATTCGCCCCTATCGTCGCCGCCGAGCCTGCTGTGGCACTGCGCGCCCGCGGCGCCGTGCCGCGCCGACGTGCTGCTGGAGCAGCTGGCGCTGCGCGTCCCTGGCGGGAGCGGCCCTTCGGCCCGGGGGCAGCGCGTGGTGGCGGCCCTGGTGATGGCCTACCATCATCATGGCGCTGTCTTTCGGGTCGACGCCAACTCAGTGGTCCTCGGTGAGGTGCTTTCCAGGCAGAAGGTCGACGCTAACGCGCTTGTCTGAGAAACGGCGAGGCAGCTCGCGTGGCACGACGAGGGGCCTGACACTAATGCGTTCGAGTGGGAGGCGGCGCCGGTGGCGCTGCGCTGGAGGGCGCGAGCGATTGCGCGACGCAATCGCGTCTTCCTTCGCCTGCTCGGCAGCGAGGTCAACATCGGCGCGCTGAGCAAGCGCCAGTCCAGCCGCAATCAGCTCGACAAGGTGGCGCGTGCCTTCTCAGCGTTGGGGCTGGCGGTGGGCGTGCGCGCGCGAGGTCTACGGCCTCGCGCCCTCAGCCAGGCGCCCTGCGGATGCGCCGTCGCGCCTCGAGGGGGGCTAGACGATCGTCGTTGGCCCTCGGGCGCGCCGCCGGAGCGCAGCTTGGGCCCCCGGCAGATGCGCGCGTGAATCCTTGGGCGCTAAGCCGAAATAGGCGTGCATCCCAGCAGTTCGTTGACAATCTGCGCGCGCTCCACGTAGCCTCGCCGTTGACTCGGGGGAAGATGGATTTCTGCCCCCCGGCTTATCCAGAGACTCTTGGGAGCGCCGGAGGGGCCAGAGGTCAGGCCGGCGGCGGCAGACGATGCGCTCAGCAGCGTGCAGCACATTTTCCGCTCAAAGCGGTGGGTGACCGGCGCGTGGCGCTTCTGGTCAGTGTGGAGTCGCATAGAGGTGCCTTGCCGAGCGCCGCTGATGCCTGCGCGTGTGGCCGCCGCCTTGGCGGGCTGGGCGTCGGCGAACTGCCGCGCTGCTTTTGCCGCGCGCGCGCTGTCGGGCATCCGCTTGTGCCTGCGAACTGGAGGGGTCCTTGGTGTGAACGGAGCCCCTGCTCGGATCGGCCCTGACGGCCGCGGCGTCGCGCCGCCCCCCTGGACAGAGACAGCCGCTCAGAAGGGGTCCAGAGAGAGCGCGGCTGTCGACCATCAGTCTGTACGCTTTCTGCTGCGCCGCCAGCGTGAGCGCGAGCCCGCAGGAAAGCCGCGGCCGCGAGGCCTCCAAGCCTTCCGCGCCGCCTCCACAGAATCGCTGGCAGGGGCTGGCTGCGCGCATCTTCAGCTCTCGCCGATGTCGACGGCGCGGCGGCGCCACTCGCGAATACCTAATCGATGACGGCCGACCTTTCAAAAGTGATGCTGCGTGGAAGGTGGAGCTCGGTGCGCGCGGCGACGATGTTTATCGAAGCCGGTGCAGCCGTCCTTGTTGAAGCGAATTTCAGCCGCCATGTGTCCTCAATGGGGTCAGTCTTCGATCGCTCGCACGCGAGTGCGATTCGGCTGAAGCCAAGACTGGGTTGGGCGGAGAGCGGGATGAAGATTTGCGACCCGCCGCTGCCGGCTCGCTCGCGCGCCTTTTGTGCAGGCCATTCGTGGGCCATGTCTCGAGCGAAGCTTGGCGCGAGGTGTGCGCGCCCGCCGTTGCCGCTACTCGTGTTTTTCCCAACCATCCTGCGGTGTTGGGTCTTCGTTTTGAAGAGACGGTGCCGCGCGTCTCCTTCCTCTCCTCCTCCTCCTCCTCCTCCTCTTCTTCCCTCCCTGCGTTTCACCCACCCAGGACAGCGTTCCGTGGCCCCATAGGGAGCTCCACCGTGGGCCCCAGTGGCAGGGTTCGCATGGCGGCCCCGGGCCATGTCGGCACACCCCTCACGAAGATCGTGGCCCCATAAGGAGCTCCACCGAAGGGTCCAGTGGCAGGGTTCGCATGGCGGCCTCGGGCCATTTCGGCACACCCCTCACGAGAACCGTGGCCCCATAGGGAGTTCCACCGAAGGCGCCAGTGGCAGGGTTCGCATGGCGGCCTCGGGCCATGTCGGCGCACCCCTCATGAGGATCGTGGCCCCATAGGGAGCTCCACCGAAGGCGCCAGCGGCAGGGTTCGCATGGCGGCTTCGGGCCATTTCGGCACACCCTTCACGAGGATCGTGGCCACAGGGAGCTTCACCGAAAACGCCAGTGGCAGTGTTCGCATGGCGGCCTCAAGGCGCCAGTGGCAGTGTTCGCATGGCGGCCGCAGGCCATTTCGGCACACCCCTCACATGGATCGTGGCCCCATAGGGAGCTCGACCGAATCCCTCCAGTGGCAGGGTTCGCATGGCGGCCTCGGGCCATGTCGGCACACCCCTCACGAGGATCGTGGCCCCATAAGGAGCTCCACCGAAGGCTCCAGTGGCAGGGTTCGCATGGCGGCCTCGGGCCATTGCGGCACACTCCTCACGAGGATCGTGGCCCCATACGGAGCTCCACCGAAGGCGCCAGTGGCAGTGTTCGCATGGCGGCCTCGAGGCGCCAGTGGCAGTGTTCGCATGGCGGCCTCAGGCCATTTCGGCACACCCCTCAAGTGGATCGTCCATAGGGAGCTCCACCGAATTCCTCCAGTGGCAGGGTCCGCATGGCGGCCTCGGGCCACTTCGGCACACCCTTCACGAGGATCGTGGCCCCATAGGGAGCTCTACCGAAGGCGCCAGTGGCAGTGTTCGCATGGCGGCCTCGGGCCATTGCGGCACACCCCGCACGAGGATCGTGGCCCCATACGGAGCTCCACCGAAGGCCCCAGTGGCAGTGTTCGCATGGCGGCCTCGAGGCGCCAGTGGCAGGGTTCGCATTGCGGCTTCGGGCCATTGCGGCACAACCCTCACGAGGATCGTGGCCCCATAGTTGTGGTGCTTCAACACTCGCGCCTGGGCGTCGTACTCCGCCTTGTTGACGTGCAACGTCACCTCCTCCCTCTTGGCTCTCAAAGCCCTCTTCTGCTTCTGCTCCTCGGTCAGAGGGACGCCGTCCTTGTCGTCGTCGGCACCCGCGAAGACGGTTACGAGCGTGTTCCTGAGCATGTCGGGCACCGGCGGGAAGCCGTGCCGTGGCCACATAGGGAGCGCGGGCGAAGACGGTATTCGCAATTGCGGTATTCACAACTGCATATGGTTGGGTCCTTCGCCAGGCTAAATTGCCCAGGCCATTCTTGGGCCAATTTGAGCGGCTGGCGAGAGGGCTCATTCAGAAAGCTGTGACACATTACTAGCCCATCGGAGACACGTTTGGCGCCGCTGCCTAGTCAGAGCGTTGCCGCGCGACCCCGCCCCCACCTCAATCCTAGTGGCACCGATCTTGGTCCATAAATGAGCCTGGCCAGAACCGGTGTAGGCGTGCATAGATCACGACGGAAGGTTTTTGGCAGCTTCCGTTTTCGATTGGCCGTCGTTGGGCCCCCAGAGACGTCAACGATTCTTTCGGGATGAAAAGCTCTTGCCAGGGAAGGGCTTAGACCCTTGGGGGACTCCTGAGGAGGTTCCGGATGAGGATGAGGGAGGAGCGGGGGGAGGCAGTGCCATGAGGAGGGATGAGAATGACCAAGGAGCAGGTCAACGACGAAGTCATCCTCATCCGCCTGCTCCTCCTCCCTCCCGCTCCTCTTCCCTTTTTCCCTCCCCCCCACACTCCTCTTGCGACATGCGCCATTATCCCCTCCCCCTTTTCCAGTCGCCGTGCGCCATCATTCCCCTCCTCTTGGATGGTGGCACATAACCTGGTGCCACAGGTGCCCTTTAACATCTACTCGCGCCGGCACGGGCTGGAGCGCACGGGTGGCAAGGAGGACCCAGGGTCCCGAGGCCCACCCTTGGGAGGCTCTGATCCTGCGAGCAGAGGAGGATGAGGAAGAAGGGAGGAGGAAGGGGAGGAGGACGTCATGCAGAAGGGAGGAGGAGGAAGAGAAAGAGGATGATGAGGAGGAGGAGCAGGAGGAAACGGATAACTGGGAAGAGGAACAGGGATGCTGATGATGATGATGATGATGCTTCTGATGATGATAGTGGTGGTGGTAGTGGTGATGATGATGATGATGGTGGCGGTGGTGATGATGGTGATTGTGATGGTGGTGGCTGTGGTGATGGTGATGGTCATGGTCATGGTCATGGTCATGGCCATGGTGATGGCGTGATGTTGATTCTGATGATGATGCTGACGCTGCTGCTGGTGATGATGATGATAATTATGTTGCTGATGATGACGACGATGGTCATGGTGATGGTGCTGGTGCTGATGCGCTTGCTGATGCTCTTGATGGTGATCATGGTGACGATGTTTATGATGGCCATGGTCATGGTCATAGTGACGATTATGCTGTGTACGTTGATGATGCTGATGCTGCTGGTGCTGCTGGTGCTGATGATGAAGATGCTTATGATGATGATGGTGCTGATGATGATGATGCTGACGACGATGTTGATTATGATGATGATGCTGATTGTAAGGATGATGATGATGACAATGATGATGGTGTTGTCTGTGATGATGACAATGATGATACTGCTAATTGTGATGATGATGATAATTATGATGATGATGCTGATGAAGATGACGATGGTGGTGGTGGTGGTGGTGGTGGTGGTGACTGGGGAGAAGTAGAAAGAGGAAGAGGAGGAGAAGGAGAAGGAGAATGATGAGGAGGCGGAGCAGCAGGAGGAGCAGGAGGAGGAGGGGGAGGCAGTGGCTGATAGGAGCAGGAATGGAAGGATGATGATGATGATGTTGATGATGACGCTGATGTTGATTGTGACGCTGATGATGCTGATGGTGCTGCTGCTGCTGATGATGATGGTGATGATGCTGATGATGATGCTGATGATAATTATGATGATGATGTTATTGCTCATGATGATGCTGTTGATGATATGTGATGGTGATGCTGCTGATGGTGATGATGCTGATGGTAACGATGGTGATGATGATGCTGCTGATCATGCTGATGATGCCGTCGATGACGATACTGATGACGATGGTGCTGGTGGTGATACTGATGCTGATGATGGCGACGATGCTGATGATGAGGAAGATGATGCTGTTGATGATGATGATGATGTTGTTGATGATGCTGATGCTGATGATGATGACGGTGACGGTGACGACGACGACGACGATGATGATGATGATGATGCTGATGATGCTGATGATGCTGATGATGATGATGATGATGATGATGCTGATGATGCTGATGATGATGATGCTGATGGTGATGATGATGGTGGTGGTGGTGGTGGTGGTCGTGGTGGTTGTATTGGTGGTGATGAGGGGGCGGGGAAGGTGGACGAGGAGGAGAAGGAGACGGAGAAGGAGGCGGAGGAGGAGGAGCAGGGGGAGGAGGAGGAAGAGGAGGCTGAGGAGGAGGAGGAGGAGGAGGAGAGGATCAGGAGGACGAGAGGGAGGCAGTGAAGGATAAGAAGGATGGGGAGGAGGAGGAGGCAGCGAAGGAGGATGAGAAGGAGGAGGAGGATGAGGAGGAGGGGCAGGAGGAGGAGGAGGATGAGGAGGACGGAAAACGAGGAACGGTAAGGCAACTCTGAGGTGTTATCATTGTGCCTTCGATCGTGGCAAGTTGTAAAATAACTCGCACCTGAGTGGCATCAAATATGCAGTGTCCCCACTGCGGTTGTTTCTGGGGGTGGAACTCGCACGGGCCTCGCCCCGCTCTTTAATTGGGATGCGCCAGTTCGAGGGGAGGGTACCGCCAGTTCATCGCATTTCAAGCCCGTTAGCTTTTGTACTGGGGCGTTTCTTGACGCGGTGCTTCCTAAATTGCGGGGCGAAGCGGCACGTTTCGGCTCCTGAGACACCCTTTTACAAATCATCCCCAGGGAGTGTGAAGATTTGAGGAGTGGAATAGGCCGAGGGGCAGGCAGCAGCCCTAGCACAATTCGACGAGGAGGAACGGAAAGGTAGGCCCCCGCGCTCGAGCAAGGCCCTAAGACGGGCTGAAGTTTAACATGCAGCGGGCACCATTATGCCCCTCAGTCTCGACAGGCGACTCGCTGAAGGCTCAAGTGGATAGCGAGGGCTCAGAGCAGGACCAGCATCACCGAATCCACCGCGACCAGCAGCTCCACGCGGCGACTCATCCCGACGAGGAACACCAGGACAACCACGCCCTCCCATGCACAGCAAACGGCAGGGCGTAACGGGTGACACGGGCGTGTCGCCCGTTACGGGGGGGGACTCTTCTGGTTGTACAGATCATCCAAACATTCAGGCAACGCGATATTCAAGGAATCACGCCGTCGATCATCATCAGCACTTTGGCATGGATCTGCTCCAGCGACTTCGAGGCGCCCCGCTCAAAGGCCCCTTGCAGGGTAGGTTCGGACGTCTTCTGGTCGGCCTTGTCGAAGTATTTGACCAGCGGTGCCTCGAGCTGATCGAACTTGTGATCCAACCCAAACGTCAGTGCTTCACCTGATTGGCGAGCTCGATCACCTGCACCTTCATGACGACCTCGCCCCTGTAGTGCTCGATGACCTTCTTCGCCTTCTGGTCGAGTTGCGCGTCCAGGTCCGCGGCCTCGATGAGGACCGCCCGCGCATTCATGAATGGAGGGCCTGACGTCTCCGTCTCGAGGCTGGCCTCCTTCCGCCTCCTGGATCTCCCGATGGCGGGCGTCGCTGGCCTGCTTGCCCGCCGCCGCCGTGACCTGATCTTCTGATGGGAGAAATGGGATGAACGCTGCCTCGCATACATCGCGCAGCTCCGCCGCATTGGACAGGCTCAGCTTTGCGAGCACTGCGGCGAGGGCGCGGGGCAAGTCGCCGCCTTTTGCCTCCGTATCAGGCAGGCAGCCTGCTCGGCCAGGTTTTCGAGCTCGACATCTGCGGCGCTCGCCGCTGGCGCGAAAGGCCAACGCGGGCGCGCTTCCACGCGCGGTGCGTGAGCGGGCAACTGGGAGAGGAACAGGCAGGTGCTCGCACAGACGAAGTTGAAGCCGAACAAGATGCCACCGACAACATCGCAGAAAGAGAGAGAGAGAGAGAGAGCGAGAGAGAGAGAAATCAACAACAACAACAGCAACAACAACAACACCAACAACAACAACAACAAAAAGAAAACACAACCATTCGACCATACCAGGAGGAACAGCCGCACGCGAATGACGAACGGCAGCGGTTTTCAATATTTCCCTGTTAAGCGACGGTTTTAGATTACGCTGACACGGCGCACGGCTCGAGAACACCGTGCGACGCCAGCGGCGCGCGTAAGCAACCGACGGAACCCGACCCAGCTCACGATGCCCATGGCGAGCGATAAGATGAGTGTGAAACCCGCGCTTATCTGGTAGGCACGCCCCACATGTAGCCCCGTTAGAATTGAGGAAGCAGCGCCAATGCGCACCATCCCAAGCAAACGTACGCGGAGGATAATGAGCACTAGCAGGGGCGCTCCAGTCACGAGGGGGAACTCGCACCGGCGCAAAGTGACTCCGAGGCTGTCGCACATCGATCTTCGCGAAATCCTCGATGGTCTCTGGGCCAGGCGAGAGGGGCTTCAAATTGCCCCCGAGAGAAGCCAAGAGAGCCCCCCCCCCACACCACCACCACCACCAATCCCAGGGGGGTCGAAGGCGGAGGGGATAGCAGACAGCCAAATGGGGCAGCGAGGACTTGCCAATAACACGTGGGCGCGGGGTGCCTTAGGATCTCTTGGAGATGCAGAATTCGGCGGGCCCGAGCCTCGAGCTCAACCGACGCGGGGCGCCAGAACTTCAAAACCGCGTCGCTGTTGAGAGAGACGGGGCGGTGCGAGTCTGGGAGCGCGCGAGTTTTGCCCCTCGTCGCTTTCCGGGCGCAGTGAGCTGCTGGGGCTGTGGGCCCGGCGTATTCGGCGATAGAAGGCAGGAGCGCTTCGGGCCCTGAGAGGGCCGCGCGATTGTTTTTGTTGGGCAGCATGCGTCTGCGCACTCGGCGCAGGGCCCCTGTCAGGTGCTAGAAGCTGCCCGTGGAGCGCCGATTCAAACGCATTACTCCCACCCGCGCCTTTCACTCATAATTATATTGGGTCGACATCGGATTCAGGCGAGACCTGGGGCCAGCTGCAACCTGGGGCGCCTTGGCTGGGATCGGCAGTTCACAGGCGCAGCGAGCCTCGAGCGCTCGTTCAGAGCCCGGAACAATTATGCCTGCACGGGTGGTCCGTTTATCAGGATGTCGCCAGCGCCCGCGCCGCGCCGAGTCGCAGTCAAAGTCAGCGCTCGATCGGGCGCCGAGTCCAGCGAGGCCCCTGGGGGCGAGAAGCACATGCCTACAGTATTCTTGGTGAGGTAATCTGCGAATTGAGTGAGCAACAGGGCCTGCCGCTCGCTCGGCATCGGGCGCCACGCGCAGAAGGTCATGGCGGGGATTCCACTGGGCCTGGCGCCGCTGCCAGGCATCAACAGCAGGGGCAACGCGTTGAACAGAGCATTGAACAGCAATGGAATCGCTCAGCAGGCCACCGCAGCTGAAGCGATTCCATTCGCTTCACAGGGTGCGCGCCTGGACAGCGGAGGGCGCCGGCGTTTGGGGTTCCCTTGGAGTCTTCTGGAAGCTTCTAGAGGACCTATCGGGGGCGTACTGGGGCCTCCTGGAGGCCTAATAGAGGCAACTTGTTGATTCCCTGGCGGTGCGGGCGTTGCCGCGGCTAGAGTCATTCCATAGGCTTGCGCCACGTCCGCCGACCCCTCGAACGAGGTCGGTTGTGTTCTTGATGGGGAGGGGCTAGTTGGTCACAGTTGGAGACCCCCACGCGCCCAGGGCACGCGGGGTTTCGGGTGGGAGCGGACAGGGGCTAGTGCGGGAGGA